AGGTAATTTAAAAAAAAAAAAAAAAAACCCGAACACACACAGAAATAATACACAGCAACTTGAGCATAATGGTTACCTCTGAGCAGGGCTAAGGGAAAAGACAGCATGAGGCTGCAGTTCAATCTGTTTTTTCCTTACCCCCCCCCCAAAAAAACCTGATGCTAATGTGGCAAAATTTAACATACTATTGTTATATTTTCTGAACTTTTCTGTATGCCTGAAATATTTTATAATTATTTTTTAAATCTAAAAACAAAAGAGAAGAAGAGTTGGAGAGGAAAAAGCAAAGAGGAAGAAGGAAAAGAAACTAATATAAATGTGAGTTGTTGGAATTTTATTAATACCCTCATTCAATATTTGAGGGCCTCTCACAAGCCAGTTGCCATTATAGCCCTTGGGCATACCAACACCGGCTCCCAATGTGAGCCGATGGTCTCTGGACAGGTCAGCTGACAGTCCTCCTAGAGCCCCAAAGTCTCTCTAATGGTGGATATCCTTCCCCTTGCAATGGCCGCCTAGGGGCACATAGTACAAAGAATTTAGACAAACCGCTCTCTTCCTTACTCACATTTAATGATGAAGCTGGGTCCCTAACCTCTTCCTAACCTCCACTGGCCCCAGTCTTCCTGCTTCATGGCCAGGCCCTCAGGCTCTGATTAATTTATGCCTCCTGAAGGGAGTCAGCCTTATTACTGCCTTCCTATAGGATCCCTCCTTCCATTGGGGGGATAATGGTCCCACCTGACTTGGGCCACTTGGGGAAACAATGAAGCATGGAGTGGCTTTCCAAGGCCCTTCACAGCAGCTTTTCCACCTGTGGTCCCAACTGGCCCTAACGCTGATGGGTCCATCTCTACCCACTACAGCTCACCCTCTACTCAGCTCAGACTACTCAGGGAAAGCCCTATACTGGGGTCACCACACTTGTTTGAAACTTTGGAGAAGCCTCTGGGCTTTCTACCCCCACCATCCCACAACCTCCCTCCTACGCACTGTTCTTTTTCCTTTCCCTCTAATCATTTCCTTTCAGACTTGCTTTCCTCTCCTGACCCAGCCCCTTTCTTTAGCTGTGTCTTCTACAGACATCTACTCTGAAGATGCCTTACCTCGAGACTTCTATAATCCATGGTGCAAGGCACCCAGAAGCCTGGTGACATGATGGACGGGAAGATGCTCAATTAGAGCCAGGAGGCTTTCAGTCTAGAAGGGCCTCTGCCAGGTAAGGGGCATCTTTCCAGGAGGAAAACCTTGTTTGGCACGGGTGCTGGGTTACTTATTGGTTATGTCTAACATAAACGTCTTTGTGATGGAATCAACCTCTGTGGAGCTTGTCAGTCCAGAGCTTGACACATAATTTCATGTCACAGGATTTTTCCTGAATAATACAATAGATACATGTTTTAGCATGAGTTTTGACAAAAGTATTTTTACAATTGATAGTTTAGGGGTGAGAATTCTTATGTTGAAGGCATATAAATTTACTATAGCGATTTAATAACATGAATATTATCTCAAGTCCATTAGTATATTCATCAGTTTGACAGGACTTCTCCCCTGCAGGGATTAACTAACGATGAAACCCATGATCTGACTGAAATCTTTACCGTGCGGTATTTCAATGTGTGGACTGTGAAGTCTTTACTGCACATCACACTTAAAGGGGTTCTCTCCCAAGTGGATCTGCATTCAAGAGATATTTGTTGAATAGCTACTTGTAACAGGCAGTATGTCAGGAGCTGGGGACAAAATGGTGAGCAAAGCATGTGTAACGAGACGCTCATGGGGCTCACAGAATTGTTGCAGAAACAGACTCTGGTAAAGGGGGAGGGATGCACTCTAATAGAAGTTCTGACCACACGTTCCACACCTGTAGGGTTTGTCTCCCACGTGGGATCTGATGAAGATGAAGGTAACAAACTCTTACAGCATCTATCCTATCTAATGGTTTCTCTGTGTGAATTCTTTGATAAACTTGGAGATCTATGCTCTGACTGAAGAAGTTCTTACCACACACACACTTGTTGAGTTTCTCTCCTCTGTGGACTTTCAGATGAGCATATAAGTCTGTGTTTTCAGAGTTTCACGTTTGTGTGGACTCTCTGATGCACTTGGCGATCTATGTTCTGACTGAAGCCCTTACCACATTTATCACATGTGTAGAGTCTCTCTCCAGTGTGGACTCTCTGATGGATGCGAAGGTTGGAGCTCTGAGGGGAGCCCTTGCCACACTCACACTTAAAAGGTTTCTCTCCCGTAGAACTCTCCAATGAACACGAAGATTTGTGTTATAACTAAAGCCTTTGCCGCACGTATCACATATGAAAGGTTTCTCTCCAGGGTGAATTCTCTGATGATAGCGAAGATCTGTGCTTCGACTAAACCTCTTCCCACATTCAGCACAGTCGTCAAGTTTCTTCGCTGTGTGGAAAAGAGGATGTTTTGAGAAAAAGAAAATGTTAACTAAAAATCTCAATCAAGGCTGCAAGCAATAGGATATCAGACTGGAGAATGTGGAAAACTATATTAGTTAAAAAACCAACTTGAAGAGTTCTAGGACTCAAAGGGAAAGGATCAAGAAAGTGAAATTGTGAAAATGAAATTATGAGAAAAATATTAAGTCGTGAAGGCTAGATCTAGAAAATCGTACAAATGTATAGGAGATCCAGAAAGAGCAAACAAATAGAATTCATGAAAGTGTTACTTAAGCTGAAAGAGACTTTCAATCTAGAAAATCAAATAACCCTCCCCACCCAGCACCATGTAGGAGCTGAAAAAAGGACAAACATATTCACATATCTAGATGAAATTTCTGAATTTCAAGGATCAAGAAAACAAAAGCATATGCAAAATTAAAAAAAAATAATAAAACAAGTTACTCCCTTGAAAAGAGAGTAAGATCGGCAGAAGACAACAGTACAAGGTCTCCAGTATCCTGAAGGAAAAAGATGATACTCAATAATTCTAAAACCTCACCTGATGGTTCCTTTACATAGGCAAAAGGAAGATACCCTCAAAAAAGCAAAGACAACCAAAATTAAAATAAAAACTCATGAAGAGGGAAAACACGAAATATAAAAAGTAGAAATAAATAATAAAAATGTAAAAGCTTGGGGTGTCTGGATGGCTCAGTCGGTTAAGCCTCCAACTTTGGTTTCAGGTCAGGTCATGATTTCATGGTTTGTCAGTATAAGCCCCCCATTAGGGTCTATGCTGACAGCACAGAGCCTGCTTGGGATTCCCTCTCTTCCTCTCTCTCTCTCTCTCTCTCTCTCTCTCAAGATAAACTTAAAAAAAAAAAAGTAAAAGCTTTACCTCCTTTTCACCCAACAAAATCTCATAAAACAATAAGGGGAAACTTCTCTGATCTGATTCAGAGATGAACAGGCTCAATGACTGGCAAACATGATTACTTAAAAAAAATTTTTTTTCACACCTAGATATATTCTGTTAAATTCCAAGGAGAAAAAGATGAAAGTTCTAAATGTTTTCAGAAGGAAGGGGGAAAAAAGAACAGGTTAAACAAAAATGAGAGAATTACTAAATGAATGAATCAAATTAGAGTAAGTAATATCAGGAGGTTAAAAACAAAGACAGGATGGCTAAAACATTCTCAGGGAAAAATGATTTTGAATCTAGAGGTCTCTACTCTGCTACACTAGTATCCAAGACTGGGGTGAATATAAATACCCTTACAAACATGTAGAGATTCAGAAAGTTTGTTGGCAAATGAAAAATAGATCCAAGCAAAAAAACAGATGTGGGATTTAAGAAATTATGGAAAAAATTAAAGCCACCTCAATCTCTGAAAAAATAAAGACACAATGTAAAAAAATTAAGAATTATATCTTGTTTCAACTAAACACAGGCCATGGGGAAAAGGGTGTGTGTGTGTGTGTGTGTGTGTGTGTGTGTGTGTGTGTGAAAATGCTAAGTGAAAGTTTGTTAATAGGTCTGTATTGTTCTGGAAAGTAGAAGTTATAAAGAACTGTTTAACACTTGCCACTGACAGAAAAATATAACTTTTAAAACATGTTAAAATCTTAAGGGTAATTAAAGAATAAAAATGGAGGGGAAAAAGGAAAGTAACAATTCATTTAGAACTCCCAAATAAGGGAAGGGGGTGAAGAATTAGAATGCATAAAATGTCAGGAATCATTATTACAGTAAATGTAAAAGGACTAAATTCCCTTAGAGTCTTAAAGACTCCAAGATTAGGTTTAAAAATACAGCCATTTTCAGCTTGCAAGAGACAAATCTATAGCAGGCAAATGCTAACTAGGAGAACAGAAGAACAACATTAATATCTCACAAAGCAGAATTCAAGGCAAAACACACTAGGGGATTTCTGGGGAAGATGGTGGAGTAGGAGGACCCAGTTCACCTCATCCATGGCCACAACTAGGTAACACTCGTATCAGTATAAGTAACCCAGAAAACAACCCAAAGAATGGTAGAACAAACTCTACAACTCAATGTAAAGAAGAAGCACATCAAAGAGGGTATAAATAATATGGCAGGGAGCTAAACATAAATTGTGGGATACCCGAGGAAGGGAGGGAGCAACAGGCGTGGAGAGGGGGGAAAAAGATGATCACACTAGGGAACCTGTACAGGGTACATCACTCACCATAGCATTTAGCTCTGAAAACTGGAGGGGCCAAATTTTGTGGGTTCTTACAACCAGCAGAACTCGAAGCCTGGAACATCAAAAATCAGCAGGCTTTGCTCTGGGAGAGCCCAGAGGGCAATAGGAAACAGAGTCACTGCCATTAAAGAGCTAGCATGACAGACAACCCATGGAGACACAGTGTAGAAGCAGCAGCTGGAAAAATGCCTGGGGCATATGGGAGGGAGAAAGATATCCAGGAGGCACTGAGATCTCCCGACAAAATCAACCCGAGGAGGTTCACACCAAGACACAGTAATCAAAATAGCAGAAAGTAGCAATGGAGAATTTTGAAAGCAGCAAAAGAAAAGACAGTTACATACAAGGGAAACCCCATATGGCTATAAGTGGATTTTTCAGTAGAAACTTTGCAGGGCAGAAGGGAATGGCATGATATGTTCAAAGTGGTGAAAGAAAAAAAATCTACAGCCAAGAATACTCTATCCACTAAGGCTATGATTGAGAATAAAAGAATTTCCCAAACGGAAGCTAAAGGAGTTCTTGACCACTAAACCAGCCCTACAAGAAATGTTAAAGGGGACTCTGAGTGGAAAGGAAAGATCATAAGAATAAGAAAAGTAGGAAGCACAAAAGCAGTAAAAATAAGTGTATCTGTAAAACTCAGCCAAGGGACTCACAACATAAAAAGATGTAAAGTATGACACCATGTACCTAAAATGTAGGGGGTGGGAAAGAGTAAAGAATGGGCTCAAACTTAAGCGACCACCAACTTAGTGTAGACTGCTATATGCGGAACATGTTATATACAAACCCAATGGTAACCACAAATCAAACACCAGTAATAAATGTGCAGAAAGGAAAGGAATCCAAGTACATCACTAAAGAAAGCCAACTTACGGTGAGAGAAGAAAGCAATGGAAAAAAGAAACAGATAAGATCTACAAAAACAACCATAAAACAATAAAATGGCAACAAAATATCAATAATTTCTTTGAATGTAAATGGACTAAATGCTGTAATAAAAAGATATAGGGTGATGGACTAGATAATAAAAACAAGACCCATCTATATGCTGCCTCCAGGAGACTCATTTCAGATCTATAGGTACATGAAGATTGAAAGCGAGGGGATGGAGGTGCCTGGGTGGCTCAGTTGGTTAAGTGTCTGACTCTTGAATTCAGCTTAGGTCATGATCTCACAACTCATGAGTTCGAGCTCCACATCAGGCTCCATGCTGACAGTGTAGAGCCTGTTTGGGATTTTCTCTCTCTCCCTCTCTTTCTCCCCCTCTCCCGCTCACACTGTAAGTAAATTTTTTTTTTCTTTTAAATGAGGGGATGGGAAACATTTATCACGCAAATGGATGTGAAAAAAAAGCCAAAGTAGCAATACTTATATCAGACAAAATAGACTTTAAAACAAAGATTGTAACAAGAGACAAAGAAGGCTATTATGTAATCATCAAGGGGACAATCCAACAAGAAGACATAACAATGGTGAATATTTACACACCCAGCATAGAAGTACCCAAATACATAAAATAGTTAATAACAAACACAAAGAAACTGATAGTAATACAATACTAGTAGGGGACTTTAACACCTCACTTACATCAATGGACAGATTATCTAAAAGGAAAATCAATAAGAAAACAGTGACTTTGAATGACATACTAGACCAGATGGATTTAGTAGATATATTCAGAACATTCCATTCTAAAACATCAGAATACACATTCTTTTCAAGTGAACATGGAACATTGTCCAGAATATATCACATATTAGGCCACAAAACAAGTATCAACAAATTCAAAAAGATCAAAGTCATACCATACATCTTTTCTGACCACAATGCAATGAAACTGGAAATCAACCACAAGAAAAAATCTGGAAAGAGCACAAATACATGGAGGTTAAATAACGTGTTACTAAACAATGAATGGATCAACCAAAAAATCAAAAAATACATAAAGATAAGTGAAAATGAAAACACAATGATTCAAAATCTTTGGGATGCAGCAAAAGCAATTCTAAGAGGTAAGTTTACAGCAGTACAAGCCTACCTCAGGAAGCAAGGTTGGGGATAGGGTTAGGGTGAGGGTTACACAACCTAACCTTACACCTATAGGAGCTAGAAAAAGAAGAAAAAATCCAAAACTAGCAGAAGGACAGAAATTATAATAAAGATTAGAGCAGAAATAAATGATACAGAAACTAAAAAAACAATAGAACAGATCAATGAAACCAGGAGCTAGTTCTTTGGGAAGATCAACAAAAATCAATAAGCCTCTGGCCAGACTCATCACAAAAAAAGAGGACTCAAAATCAGAAACAAAAGAGGAGAAATAACAATCAACACCACAGAAATACAAAGGATTGTAAGAGAATATTATGAGAAATTATATGCTAACAAATTGGACAACCTAGAAGAAATGGATAAATTCCTAGAAAGCTACCTAGGAATTGCTAGATTGAACTACCTTCAATCTACCAAAATTGAAGCAGGAATAAATAGAAAATTTGAACAGACCAATTACCAGCAGTGAATTGAATCAGTAATCAAAAAACTCCCAGAAAAAAAAAAAAAAAAAAGAAAGCCCAGGACCAGTTGGCTTCACAGATTAATTCTGCCAAACATTTAAAGAAGAGTTAATACCTGTTCTTCTCGGGGCGCCTGGGTGGCGCAGTCGGTTAAGCGTCCGACTTCAGCCAGGTCACGATCTCGCGGTCCGTGAGTTCAGCCAGGTCACGATCTCGTGGTCCGTGAGTTCGAGCCCCGCGTCAGGCTCTGG